TATTCAGATGTTCGGGATATTCAAACCTTGATTAAATGCCACTCAAAGTCCATAGAGTCGAGAGATGAAGAGATCGACTTACCTTTGTGCGGATGGTTCACTGAAATATAAAGAGAGTAATTGTTTGTGGCCACATGAACGGAACACCGTCCCCTGTGTCACGCTGAGCCCAGGCGGCAGTAGGAGGGTAGTTTAATACAGACGCTCTTAAGGCGTAGTCTACATACATGACTTGATACAATACTACCTCTGTTGATACCCCATGAACGTCCAAGTTTTAATTACCCGATTGTCAGATTCTTACTCTGATTAACATTTAGTCCTCAACATAATGTCATCTTATTCAAATATCTTAGACTACAAAGAAGATTCCAAAGGACCCCAGTACAATGCTTGGTTTCATAATCTAGACAATCTAGACTTGCCAAATCACTCTTGATTTGATTTCGATTCGTCTCCAGAATCTCTGACCGACCGGGGCGGTGGGGTAGCCTAGTGGTTAAAGCGTTTGCTCGTCACGCCGAAGACTCGGGTTCGATTCCCACATTGGTACAATGTGTGAAGCCCATTTCTGGTGACCCCGCAGTGATGTTGCTGGAATATTGCTAAAAGCGGCGTAAAACCATACTCGCTCACTCTGACCGACGATTCCTTGCTGTACTTGAGTCTTTCTCTTTCATTGTAAACGTCATATTCTTTAATATTTATTATAATTGATTTAATAAATACATGACAAACTATAGTGAAATACTACGCTGCACCTTACATACAGCATCTCAGTTTTGTCCATGGCTAGTGTCCTTATGGAAACGTTTCCGGTTCTGATACAGAACATGTCTCAAGAAACCAATGTGCTTGTCTAGATTACTGAAATTGTGATCGGGGGGTTACGATGTGTGGCCGGTCATCACTTGCTCTATCGTTGCTCAATCGTTGAACCATTCGTTTTACCTATACCGGATTACTTCATTGGTGATAAAGCTTCTAAAATGCGTGATATAACATCCTTCACACACATATAACAGTAATTTAATAGAAGTTTATGACCATCTGATTACGTATATTACTATATGTAACCTATCACGGGACATGAGTGAGTGAGTGAGTTTACGCCGCTTTTAGCAATATTCCAGCAATATCACGGCGGGGGACACCGGAAATGGGCTTCACCCATTATCGAACCCGGGTCTTCAGCGTGACGAGTGAATGCTTAAAACCACTAGGCTACCCCACCGCCCCTCATAGCACATGAGGGAAAGTGACTCGACTCTATATAAACCAAAGGTTCTGCATGGTCACGTCCGTCACCCAACCGTGGGACATGTCTGTGTCACGGTTCCTTAGTCCGTGACATAGTTCTCAGCAGGAAAGGTAATCCATCTGGTTTGTACTTTAGACACATTTTATGCACGGTCAATGACCTGGCATGTTTTCAGGCTGTCGACGAGACATTCTACACACCACTGTATGGTAGGCGTGAGGTGTTGGCGTTAGTGTTGTTTCAACTTGTACCTATATTCCCTGGTGGCGAGGAGTTATGTATAGAATTGGCATACAACACTGTTTTAGATTCCGAACAATGGCGTAACACTGTTTTCTTCTCAAGTCCCGAACAAGAGCAGCGCATTTTTCTCTTTTCTTTCTCTTTTCCTTATCAACTCAATAGGGCGTACCCTTTTTCTTTGCCCTAGCTATGATAAGATAATGCTCACTGTTTGATCGGCATTCTAGAAGCTGGTGAGTCAAAAATGACTAACACGTCTAGCTTGATTACGATGTAAAAGTCTAAATCGAAACGTCGCTCTATGCTATAAACAAAAAGTTGTATGTTTCATTTTCAAGATAATACTCCCTCTCCCCGAACGCGGTATAAAATATTGCCTACCTTTTCTCATGAAATATATAAAGGTTTTATTGTTGACTTATTTAGTGGCAAGAATTGGACTTCAGGATTTATTTGAAAGCTAACATAAGTAAATCGTTGTTTTTGTGACACACACTGCTCATAAGTTTTCAAAGGTTGACAGTCGTTGGCTGATTCACGACATTATAAATAAGTCTTCCCCAGTGTTTGTTTTGTTTTCGTTTCAGTTCAATCAGTTAGAAATTCCAACTTTTTCATGTCTCCACCCAAAAATGTATAGCCATTCCAATATTTGCCCGTTCCATCAAATAAAGCGCCATATTTTAAAGGTGTATGACCAGACATGAACTGGTTCAATTAGATCAACGCCCTCTAGCGGAAATGACCTACTTTTAGAACGGACAGCCACCCAAGCGATATACAGAACTGGCTCCGATATAATTGAAAATTTTAAGGTAATGATTGCTTGTCAACTAAGCTTTTTGTCAGTAAAGGTATTCTGCAGAGAAATTCCATCAACGTGCCATTGTGTGACTTGCCCCACGCGGCGTAGTGATATGAGAGACAAATATCACAGACCGGACTTCTTATGCATGCGCAAATAGTCCCCAGCTGTGGCAACACGCCTCTACATGGAGTCACTTCCGGTAAGGTGTATGCTGGTTACATAAGCAGTTCGTATTCTCGTAGACGTTTCTCTCTCTACGTGAGCAGGTGACACGTAAATATGTAAACCGGAAATAAGAATGGAATGCGGACCATGTGAAAACATTTTGGGAGGAAGCAGATGGAATTTCAGACGGAATCAAAGAATAGGGCAGAAGTAGCACTAACGGGCTTCCTGGGGTAGAAAGTATAAATGTGAAGTAGCAAAATAAGAAGATTAAAAGTAAACTTTCAAGCAATCAAAACACGCATAGAGGTATCAAAATACAACAATAACACATAGTGACGTCACAGGTCGACGACAAGTCTGACATTTCAAACATCAAAAAAGAACCGTTTGGCGTTTGACCGGAGGAGCAGTATGTTTTATTTCAGCTGCAATGTATTTTCTATCTTGTAAAATGTATTTTATATACGGAAGCCGGTGTTACATCATTACGGTTTTCTGCCCCGCTTCTTACATCCAGGGGAAAGGTTTTCCAGTACATCACAGCCACTCTCATTCATGATGTGTGAAGCTAAGGGAGCGAACCCATAGTGTGTTTGCAGAGTCAGCAACGACTCCTACATCCACATAATCAACAACAGCTTCATCATATATATATTAGTTATCTTTGAGGTCTGGCCTTTTTCGTGGGATGGAAAATTGTTAGAATATCAGAATATTAGAATTGTTAGAATTGTTAAATATAAGACCTAGTGCACTAAAGACAAATATGAGGTAAAAAGAGTTGTCAAAGAAGCCGTTGTAAGGCTAAGGGGCCGTTCATAATTTATGGCAAGGGGAAGGGGTGATGATGATTTCTATGGAGAAGCAGGTACAATGTGAATAACACCCCCTAAAATTAATGTACAGAGTAAGTGAACCCCCATGCATGGCATGTACAACATCAATGACCCCCTCCCCATCCCATAATTTTTAAGCATATTTTTTATTATTTTTATGTACAAAATTGTTGACCCCCTAGTACATTGCCTCTTCATTGTTCCATAACCACCATGTTGAAAGCCTTTATGATGATATCCAACAAAACTTGAAAAAGGGATTATTTGGAATAAACTCAAATGGAATGAACCCTTGCCATGAATGAAGCATTCACGGAGCCGCCCCTGGGAACAGGAAGTGCAGTAAGTTTAGGATACATTCCTGCATTATAATGTCATCGAGCTCCCGTACAGGCTCATTACACAACGCACTGTAGAGAGTTCCCACAACGTGATCTCCGCCATTTGAGATATGGCTGACGCCTTACCCTCTACACCCACAAGATTACTTTTTTAAACGAAACATTCCTGAGACGGTATCCAATTATGGTGTTATTTACTTGACGTGCTCAATCACATCGTGCTGCAACTAATTATCTGCCCCAAAAGACACATCGTGATGTAGAAAGTGAACAGCTGTTTTCTCATTACTAGAATCACACACACAGCTCCTTGGAACTGTTGTTATGTAAATAGTTTGTTGTCAAACTGTTTCTAGAAAGGTTTTGGTTTAGTTTGTTGAACTTTCGTCCCAATTTGGTTTGAAATGTAGACACTCGTTTTTTTATTAATCTTTTTTCTATTTTTCCTGCCGACACCTACGAGACACATAAGTCATGTCAACCAGTAATTTAAGTCGTAAGGGAAATGCGATGTAATATCTGTACACGCATGATGTTGTTTTTAGTAAGTTATATGCTCCATATCTCGAACTAAAGGTATATTCTTCAGCTTTGCATAAATGACTGAAAGAAAGTACAAAATATATTTGTCAGCTCTGGCGTGTGTGTTTATTATTTTAGCTCCAGGTTGAATTGCTAAGTAGACCTAAGAACAGTGGTATTGCTAAAACGGAATACAATCACACTCAGTCATATCACTTGGTTAGAATGGCCATATCCTGTCGCCCAATGAGTAACTGTTCTCTCGGCGAAAGTGAAACCCAAGACAAATGCCTTGTCCCATACAATATATAATATTTGTCAGAAACAGAGAACTGAATAGGGCGCCTCAGAACCTGAGAAAAATCTACATTTGCGTTTGGATTTCAGTAAGGGCGAATGATATCTATGGAAAAATGGTACACCTACAGAATACCGGATACCTACCAACCCTAACGCTAACGCTAACCCTAACCCTAAACCTTACCCTAACCCTAACCAAAAGTAAACTTGCGTGCTTTCAAAGATGGCGGAAGGTATCCGGTATTCTGTAATCTTACCGGAAAAATATATGATTCAGGGATTGTGAGTGAGACTAGTGAAACCCCTCTCGCACAAACGGCAGTGTCATGCTCAATGGGAAATGGACACCCCCAAACAACAGTCCGTTTGATGACCAATATGAAATAGCCTATCCCCTATCTTTTACTAAAATGATAAAACATCGACTTGGGGGCTATTTCTTGCAATGTAGATATAGATTTTGTTAAATGTATTTACAATTTGCACGTATTATCACTGATTTCAAATACGATCCTTTTCAGGCAGAAAATGGATGACAAATGTGAGATGCAGCGGATACGAGGACAAACTGAAATACTGTATGTTTCCGGGCTGGGGGCGCATGCGCCGCGGTTGCTATGGAAGCAGTCGTTCAGCTGGTGTCGTGTGTAGGCCACACCCAACGACCCCAGCGTCTACGACAACCACTACTGGGGCCACCACCACAACAACAAAAGAGATTATCGCGCCGAAAAAACAGAAAGATCTTAAAAAACACCAACAGTATTTAATCGACAGAGATTATCGCCTACAGCAACAGTCCCAGTTCCAGGGCGATGACCCAGCAGCGTCGGTGAGTCTGGGACAGAGTTTATAGATAATGTTCTTGAATACTGAATCCATATAATGGATTTATGTTTTTGCTGTCACCATACGATTGCAAACACAGCCTTTTGGAAAAAGAGTGAGTGAGTTTAGTTTTTAGCCGCTTTTAGCAATATTCCAGCAATATTTCGAGAGTCACCAGAAATGGGCTTCACACATGGTACCCATGTTAAGAATCGAACCCGCGTCTTCGACGTCACTTTGGAAAATGATGGGTGCATTTTGTGATCCCGATGAGGATTTAGGATTTTCAGCAACCTGTGCTGGGCGTAAGCCCATCCATGTTTTCGTTATGTTTCTACCAGCAAGAGAGCGGGTGAGAAGCTGTATTTATAATTTTGGAAAAGAAATACACGTTTTTCTTTAATTGTTAAGCTTTTTGCGACGTATTAAGGTCTAGAAACTTTCGTGCGAGTCTGTAAATGCATTTGATATGTACATGAAGTCCGAAAACGAATCTCTCGAGGAAAGGTCAAGCTGATCAGGACTTATGGTTGTGCAGTGACATGAGTACTGATCATACGGGGCATACGTGTTTAAAAACATAAAGATCAAAACATATTTTACGTAGGAAAGAAATGTCAGGTCGGAGATGGGAAACACAGATATATTAACCTGAGACGACCAATGGATCGGGTGGTAAAGCACAGTCACCTACTGAATAGCCTGACATGGTGTTTCTGATCTTTGCTCGCAGCCCCAACCACTAGGTTATCTGTCGTAGACTTGAATATTCACAGGCCGCTGCCATGTTTTGCGAATATTGTGTGCGGCATTCATAAGAATTCCATAAGAATATTAAATAGAAACCAGCTTGCGTTATCGAAACAGTAATAAAGCGCCATCTATGTACAGAATGCGGATCAGTTAGTTTGTCTCACAGTCCCTGAACCACATTATTTTCCCTATTGCCTAGCCCTCTCTGTAGTGCTAAAGCCCTAAATAAAGCAAGTCTAGATTTCCTCAGGTTCAGAATGTCCCAACTCACAGGGGCTCCTTTTCAATTTAAATGGGCTTGTTTGTTACTATCAAAATTATATATATTCAGAGACTAAGCATTAGCCTACGGATCAGTAAGCGTCGTGTGGGAGTGGGTTGCACGCATCTTTATTACTGCTCTGGCTCCGCTCACTACAGGGAGAATGACACTCTGTCAGGACATGTATTTTGACATGTATGTAAGTGCAAAAAAAATTCTTTCAGCGAGTGAGTGAGATGGGTTTTAACGCCGCTTTGTAATGGTGCCGGCAAACCTAGAAACGTAATTAGGGCGAATCGGAATTCGCGTCAAAGGTGGCTCGTGTACCCAGGGAGGTAACTCTGCAGGGCCATTGCGGCACTGTTGGCGACTGGATCACCCACGACCGAGAGCTGTTTTTATGATTATTTGTAATGGTTACTTCTGATGAATTGGTTCTGATGCCTTTCATTGTTTACACCAGATATTTGTATTATTATGCTTGGTACCGTGAAAATGATGATTGTATATTTTACTTGAAATGATGTCAGGATATTATCGTGTGTTAAATATATGATGGTTGATATTTTGCACTTAAAGTTTGATAGGTCTTACTTTTTATGACTGTTATTGCTATCATGTGATGATCCGTGTTATCTGTCCATTTAGAGCAACTCCTCAGAGCCCAGTCTGCTCCTGCGCATGGTCGGTGGCAGATACGATTGGGAAGGTCGCATTGAGGTCAAAGAAGAGCACAGCGAGTGGGGCGCCGTCTGTGGGGAGAAATGGTCAATCAAGGAGGCCATGGTCGCGTGCAGGGAAATCGGGCAGCCGTACGCCAAGCAAGCACTACAGGTCATGATGGACGTGGACTGTGTTTCTTAGGGCCTATTCGATTATGCTAAACCGGTTTTGGTTTCGGGAAAACCATGCACTCGATTATGTCGAAACCTAAAACTGGTTTCTGAAACTTCGAAACCATCTCCGAGGCAGGTTTCGCAGTTTCAGTTCGCGTTCTCTTACAACAAACATGGCGGAAACGAAAGCGCCAAGGTCAGCTGATCTTGGTGGCAAAATAGAGCAGCATTTTTGAAACCAAAATAATGATAAAAATCAACTGAGAACTAGGACTAGTCTATTGAACATGACTATTTTATGTAACTTGTATATATATCATTACTTGTAACAGTATAATTACATATATACGCAAATATTTACCTCCAAAAGCATCTCATCTCTTTATTATTTGTTAATTCTCTGATAAAATGAAAAACATATGCTGTCATCCAATTCGTTCCACATATACAGTAGCTGAGACATTTTTTTGGTATCCATTTTGAAACCGGATGGTGAAACCATCCACTCGTTTATAAAACTAGAAACTAGTTTCACTTTGAAACCATGTATCCGAAACTAGACACTCGTTTATAACAGGAGAAACCAGTTTCAAAAACCAAAACCAGTTTCGCAATAATCGAACAGGCCCTTAGGACCTTCGAGCATATATTTTATACACTCCCACCCCGTTTCACTGTTACCCTCTTCTCAAATCTAGTAGCACATCCTATCACCCTTTCGTCCCTAATGAACGAAGGAGATCTGAAGGTTCCTTTAAACTAAGAATATTTCTTAAGTGGTCCCTTTTGGAACCAAGAACATATATTTTATAGAGCACCATCCTGTTTCAACAAGATCCTTTTCTTAGATCTGGCACCATCTTCCATCACAATTTTAGCTCTATGAAATTAGAAGATTTGAAGGTTTCCTTTAGCTCGAAGCATAAAGAATATTTAGTGGTCTCTTGTAGGATCCCCGAGCATATATTTTACAGACCACCACCCTATTTCACCATCACCTTCTTCTCAGATCTAGCAGCATATTCCATCACCCTTTCGGCTGTAATGAAATTGGTGAGTTAGTGAGTATCTATAGTTACGCCATTTTTAGCAATAACCAAGCAGTATCACGGCGCCAGTACCGGAAATGGTCTCCAAACAAGGGGTTGTTTTTAGGCAAAATAAGCAAACGCTTCAGTCACTAGTTTTTTCAAAGAATTATGTTTATTAAACTTTTTGACAATTCTTTTTTATGACATCATATCTGCCTCGCGGTAAAGTTTGGTAACCCAAAATACGAATGAGGTTATCTTGACGTGACAAGCTGATGATGTCGTACATAGCGACGTTGACGTTATGATACCCATGCAGGTTCGGTCACTGACCAGTGGGATAATTGGATGTATAATACCAATGATTTATGCCACCATTCCTGATTTCATTCATACGAACGAAAAAGAGTGTTACCAATTTCAGGGAAACTTCCTCCATTGTATGCTGGCATGCTGGACATTGTTAAAGTTCAATCAAGGTGTCGATCAATGATCCGTTCACAATGTGAGACCACTGTTTTTGTACATTATACAGGTGAACTATTTCGGCGGGGAACATTTACACAAGCACTACTATCAGATCAAGTGTAAAGGACGGGAAAGTCGCCTGGATCAGTGTGAAAAGATTCGGACAAACGTCGGGGTCACCTGCTCCAAATCCATTCTTGTCGCTGGCATCGTGTGTACTCACCGTAAGTGAAAAGCACTCCAACATGATCTAACCGTAGTTCCGACATAAAACGGGCCAGACGAAGCGGAAAAGGCAGAAACTATAACCACTCATTCAATAGTTTATCATGCTGTCTTGCAGGTCTTCCTGACCTTATCCCTGACCTTGAGATCCTGGAGGAGTCTGTGAGACTGGCAGACCGACCCCTGTACTACCTACAGTGTGCCATGGAAGAGAACTGTCTGGCGTCCTCAGCCGTTGTGATCAGGAACACAAGCAAAAGTAAGAAACCTGATTATGTCGCCGTTATTCAAAACATCAAGAAAGTGTAGTAATGTAGTATCCATAGGTGCACCCCCATCCTTCGATATGATAAATATCAACACAGCGCAATCAAAATATATAACTCAGAGGGTTGCAAGGAAGTTTGAACTGTTTGTCGACTGACTGCCATATATCTAATTTAGAAGGGCACGATGGGAGGTTCTATTAACCGTTCAAAAATTATTATTCCAACGTGTTCGGTTTGTAAACAGTAATAACTAGTCTCACGAGGGTTAAAAGTACCACTTTCTTAAGAGTGACCATTGATGTTGATAGTTGTGACGATGGCAACCGATGGCGCCAAAATGGTGCTGCAAGTTCATTGTAGAGATATATAGAACATACTCCTTGATCTCATATAATGGTAAATAATGGATGATAGATGTACATTTCAGCGTTAGAAACGAATGTCACCAGTTTGAGTGGTTTAAGAAGCTGATGTTCAGGCGACCCGTTCTTACTTTGCCTCAAACGGCATTAAAAATAAAGAGAGGCACAAATATTGATGCAATAAATACCAAGTATTAAAAACGATTCCGCTGGCAGAATTGTTTGGAAAAGTGATTTTGGCAAGATCTGTTTCTGTGTGAATGGCTCAAAGAACAGTGTTTAGTCAGGCCGAGGCGCTACAATGTAAATAAACTCAACAAGATGCACATGAACAAAACTCGCCGGAAGAAGTGCAGCAGTGATGTTGTCGCTTTGATGGTGGAATGCCTCAGTTGATGCGCCGTTTGAACAATGCACGAATTGCATCTCTGTTCCATGTCAAGCGTAACCATGGATATCTTGCATCTGCAGACTGGCACGCTCACAACAGACGTCTGCTGCGCTTCTCCACAGTCGTCCACAACGAGGGTCTAGAGGACTTCCGCCCATACAGAGCCAAGTCAGCATGGGAGTGGCATGAATGTCACATGTAAGTTATGTCGTAAATATCGTTTAGTGGTTCCAATGTCACATGTAAGTCATGTCGTAAATATCGTTGAGTGGTTCCAATGTCACATGTAAGTCATGTGATGCATATATTTGAGGGGCCTTAATGTAACAGTAAGTCACGTGGTACATATCGTTGAGGGGCATGAATGTCACATGTAAGTCATGTCGAAAATATTATGGGATGGTTCGAATGCCGCATGTAAGTAAACGGTTAACGGAAATTGGCTTCACACATTGGACAATGTATACGGAAACGAGCCAGTCTGTCGCTAGATGAGAGTGTACAAAAACTATTTACTATTATTGTATTGTGAGGATTGGTTGATTGTGTGGTACTATACCGCTGCTCAAGACGTCAGCCACATATAGTCGGACCCACAATAGTGTTTTACAAGAGGTTTCACTTGAAGTCTTTACATGCCGTTACATGAGTGAGTTGGATTTTAATGCCGCTTTTAACAACATGCTATATTCATGGAAAAGGGTATCGAAACACAAAAGATTTTAACCTCCATGAAGCCGTTTGTATTCATAATTATGTTTAAAATATTTTGAAACAAGATTGATTTTAGATATACAAAGGCGAGCATCACGTGCAATACGCTAGTCATTTAGCAAATATCAAATTTCAGAGAACTGTTCTGAAAGCTCGATAACTTGGAAAATCAAATGATTTCTTTGATGGTAAGCAAACATGGGGCATCCTCCAATGACAACTGTTCAAAGATAAAGTTATTGGTATACGGAATGCTGGCAAGTCATTGAGGGCTATTGCAAAAACTGTTAGTTGTCATCCACGGACTATCAGCCAACTGGCAATAAAATGTCATCAAACTAATGTTGTTAAGCGTTCGACCGCTAGTGACAACTCCGACTGAGGTGTTGATAAGTTCGTTTGATAATGTTAATGGTAACATATTTTATTTTTTAAAAATCTAGGGTGTTGCGATACTTTTTTCCATGTGTATAGTTATGGCCGCACAATGTAGGAGGAAGTTACGAAACGATGCAGGTCTCAGATGTTTATCATTTAGGTGAACAACACAAGCACTAAAGTGGTTCTGAAAAATCCTTAAAGCCAAAGAATTCCTGCACAATTGACGCTTTGGTCACTCGTGTCCCCGTACGTGTCTCCCGTATGAGGCAATTGCGTAGATCGATGCTCATGATGTTGATCACTGGATGGTCTGGTCCATACTCGATTATTTACAGACCACCGCCATATAGCTGGGATATTGCTGAGTGTGGCGTTAAACAACCAACCAACCGATGACACTTCTGTATAATATATAGCTGGGATATTGCTGAGTGTGGCGTTAAACAACCAACCAACCGATGACACTTCTGTATAATATATAGGCTGTCATGTCCAATTTGCATTCAAATATGTTGACACCTTTTGCCTTGTGGTGATTCAAAATTGCAGATAAGAATGTGTAAAAGTACAAAATGTACCCTTACACCCGACCTTGATGGAACTCAAACCCACAATCTTCGGCTCCGGAGGCCGACGCCTTATCCATTAGGCCACAAGGCCGACATGCGATTACAGTAGTTGCATTTAGTTGCATATACCAATATAATATACTCTCCCAAAAACAAGCGCATATAGGAATTTCAACTGTATTTTTATGTTTATTTTGAAACATCTTGTAGGCTTTATGAGTCAATGAAATATAGCGAAATTGCACACTGGGAATGCAGACTTATCCGTCTTTGGCACCAACTCGAGGAAAGTCAGTTTGTGTGTCACATGGAGACGTGTGGTGGCGCTGAAGTCAATACCTCGTGTGACTCACCGTGGTCATCCAGAAATACAGGGGGCATCGCCTCGGCATTGAACGAATAAGTCTCAGAATCTCGTGTTGCCTAATCGCAGCCCACTCTGCCTGTAGTGCCTGTGCGAGTTGCTTAAATTAATCTTGAGCTGGGGGTAACGGCGTCGCACACGTCTGTCAGGGCATCCCACAGATGTTCGATCGGGTTTTAAGTCCGGTGATCTTGAGGGCCAGGGGGAGCACATTGATGTTGTGGTTCTGGAGGAAGTCTCTGGAGTGTGACGTGCTGTGTGGGGCCTGGCACATCCTGCTGAAACAACTCCCTCTGGCGATCAATGATTGGAGAGGTGTGGGCGTAGGATTTCGTCACAGTACCGTTGAGGCTGTCAGGTTACCCTGGATCATCACCAAATCACTTCTCCTACGGCTGGTGATCGCTCCCCATATCATAACAACTCCCGGGCCGAATCTGTCCACCTGGGGAACGCAGGGGTCGGCGAAACGTTCACGTCGACGTCTGTACACCCGCATTCTTCCATCGCGTCGTTCCAAAAGAAATCGTGATTCATCACTGAACCAGATTCTACGCCAATTCGGTAGGTTCCAGGCCTGAACGTTGGTGCACCATTGAACTCGATGTCGACGATGTTGTTGTCGAAGCACAGGGCCAAAATAAGGTCTTCTGGCACGTAAACCAGCCTCTCTCAACCTGTTCCTGACGGTCTGTGCAGAAAGCCTCCTCAATCCGGGTATTTGTCGAGCGGTACTGGTCGCCGTAGCTGTTCGATGACGCAGGTGATGTACCCGGATGTAGCGATTCAAGTACAGTGAATAATCGACAGACAGCGATCAACCTTTTATACCCATCATTGAGACTATCTGATCCCCAACTTTCACGTGCATTGCATGTGAATTGTGTATTCTGTGACACTACACGCCGAAATTGAAAATCATGCTGTTAAATACGGGTATTTTACGGATGGTGCGTTTTGTTGTGATGTTTCAAAACATAAACACCATAGGACTCATAAACAGAGCAAAACCTTTTGTAAAATGAATCACGTTTTAATTCAATGCTACATGAAATTGCTATTTTCATGATGCGTTTCTTTTGGAGAGTATATATCTTGCACGAGTGTGATTGTTGTCATAACTGTCATCATTATTATTTTTAGAGAAAATATCTACTTGAGTGGTTATTAATATGTAACTGCGAGTGTTATTGTTATCGATATGTGGCTTCAATATTGCTGAGTGTGGCGTTATACAACCAACCAACTGATGACACTTCTGTATAATATATAGCTGGGATATTGCTGAGTGTGGCGTTAAACAACCAACCAACCGATGACACTTCTGTATAATATATAGCTTGATATTGCTGAGTGTGGCGTTAAACAACCAACCAACTGATGACACTTCTGTATAATATATAGCTGATATTGCTGAGTGTGGCGTTAAACAACCAACCAACCGATGACACTTCTGTATAATATATAGCTGGGATATTGCTGAGTGTGGCGTTAAACAACCAACCAACCGATGACACTTCTGTATAACATATAGCTGGGATATTGCTGAGTGTGGCGTTAAACAACCAACCAACCGATGATGACTGGGATATTGCTGAGTGTCTGATATAATATATAGCTGGGATATTGCTGAGTGTGGCGTTAAACAACCAACCAACCGATGACACTTCTGTATAATATATAGCTTGGATATTGCTGAGTGTGGCGTTAAACAACCAACCAACCGATGACACTTCTGTATAATATATAGCTGGGATATTGCTGAGTGTGGCGTTATACAACCAACCAACCGATGACACTTCTGTATAATATATAGCTGGGATATTGCTGAGTGTGGCGTTAAACAACCAACCAACCGATGACACTTCTGTATAATATATAGCTGGGATATTGCTGAGTGTGGCGTTATACAACCAACCAACCGATGACACTTCTGCATATAATATATAGCTGGGATATTGCTGAGTGTGGCGTTACAACCAACCAACCAACTGATAATATATAGCTGACAGCTGGAAGTGTGGCTTCTGTATAATATATAGCTGGGATATTGCTGAGTGTGGCGTTATACAACCAACCAACCGATGACACTACTTGCATAATATATAGCTGGGATATTGCTGAGTGTGGCGTTAAACAACCAACCAACCTGATGACACTTCTGTATAATATATAGCTGGGATATTGCTGAGTGTGGCGTTAAACAACCAACCAACCGATGACACTTCTGTATAATATATAGCTGGGATATTGCTGAGTGTGGCGTTAAACAACCAACCAACCGATGACACTTCTGCATATATATAGCTGGGATATTGCTGAGTGTGGCGTTAAACAACCAACCAACCGATGACACTTCTGTATAATATATAGCTGGGATATTGCTGAGTGTGGCGTTATACAACCAACCAACCGATGACACTTCTGTATAATATGATAGGTTAATCTGCTTCTTCAGGGCGGATACAGCTTTTGAGAAAGGAGGGTGCACTATTGAAAGGAGGGTGCACACTATTGAGAAAGATTGGGGTGCACACTATTATTGAAAGGTGGTGCACACTATTGAGAAAGGTGGGGTGCACACTATTGAAAGAAGGAGGGTGCATATTGAAAGGAGGGGTGCGCTATTTGAAAGAGTGGGGTGCACTAATGTGAGAAGATTAAGGTGCACTATTGAGAAAGGAGGGGTGCGCACTATTGAGGAAAGGAGGGTGCGCACTATTGAAGATTGGGGTGCGCACTATTGAGAAAGGAGGGGTGCGCACTATTGAAGAAAGGTGGGATGCACACTATTGAAAGTGGGGTGCACTTCATTTTTCACGAGAGTTCAATGGTCATTTAATAAAATTTCAGGACAAAGGGTGGGTGCGCACCCCTGCACCCATATCTGGATCACCTATGTTATTCTGGCTGAAAACAGATTGATGAGCCTTTTATATTGCTGAGTGTGGCGTTAAACAACCAACCAACTGATGACACTTCTGTATAATATATAGCTGGGATATTGCTGAGTGTGGCGTTAAACAACCAACCAACTGATGACACTTCTGTATAATATATAGCTGGGATATTGCTGAGTGTGGCGTTAAACAACCAACCAACCGATGACACTTCTGTATAATATATAGCTGGGATATTGCTGAGTGTGGCGTTAAACAACCAACCAACCGATGACACTTCTGTATAATATATAGCTGGGATATTGCTGAGTGTGGCGTTAAACAACCAACCAACCGATGACACTTCTGTATAATATAGTTTAAGATACAAATACCATCATACATAATTATCTTGTACCAATGTCACGATTGTCATGAGATCCACCGATCTCTTTGGTAGTCTCTCACGACCGTCGATGGCCAGCTGTGTTGAGAAACAGGTGTACGTGAACTCACGTTCCAGAATTGCCACCAGATCTATCAGTCCGTGTTCCAGATGTACCGAATAAAATGTTACAGTTCGTATTGTGTCGCCACGAGTAGTTCTAACCCACCATAACGTCCGCCTGAGGTCGAATTCCGTCGCTAACACTACTTCTGCACATGCGCCGTGACCTAGCAGCTTCCGCCAACCTTTTCCGACACATGGCCAGAATCGTACTCCGGTAGTTAAGGGTTATTATTGCACAAAGAAGTATCTAAGTGTTATATAGGGTCTGCAAGGAAACGTCCTTTATCCCCAGCGCCAGATTGAACACATTGCTAGAAGTTTGTAGCCGGTCACAGTGCTCCCACCTTGGCCCAATAGTTTTCTTATCACATTTGGGCCACCGATATCTAAAACCATGCAGTGCTCAGTATATAGGGCGATAGGTTAATCTGCTTATTCTAGCTGAAAACAGATTGATGAGCCTTTTTACTAACTTATCCTTACCCATTTCGTCTTGTCTGAAATTTTTCATCTCGTTTCAGTAAAATATTTCGATATAATGATTTTTTCTCTTTCCGGCAGTCCAGAATAGCTGTCATGTCCATTTCGTTTTTCGTCTGAAGTTTAAACATTTTACATTCAGATATGTCGACACCTTTTGCCGTGTGGTGATTCAAAATTGCAGATGTCCATCATTGGTGGTGGTGGTGGTGGAATTTGGTTTAACGCCGTGCTTGAGAATATTTCGCTCATATGACGACGTGCATGCGTGTGTATGTGTAGGTGCGGCTGCTTATACTAGCCCAGACTGAAGCTGGTTTTATAGTGCTAGCCCACTGAGATACCATGCCGCAGTGAAGCATGAATACCCCACTCAGACACATTATACTGACTCTGAGCCGACAAGTCCTTGTTGTACCCAGTAATGCCGAGCGCCAGGCAGAGAACAACAAGTAGCATATTTTAACGTCTTTTGGTATGACGCGGTCGGGGATCGAACCCGCGACCTTCCGCACTCCGGGCGGACGCTCTAACCACTACACCACAGAGGCGGTCACTGATTATTGGTACCAGTGTTGGTTCCAGTGTGCGAAATAGATTCCAGTTTTTTTCTAGCCAGTCGGACTAGCTATGCCTGAAAGTTACTAGCCCACAAAATAACTCACTAGCCCGAAATTTGAATGTCGACACGGGTTTCATCATTAAGCTGCTGATACGATGAACATTTTTATTAGGCCATAATCTTGCATGATTTACATGGGTATTATAACCTAACAAGTCGGAGAGAGTGATATATTTACAAAATGACCCCATGAACATTCACTAGTCAGATTGTGCAGATTTACTGGCCCGACTGGATTTTTACTAGCCACGGGCTAGCGGGTCAGTGTCTATTTCGCGCACTAGTTGGTACTGTGTGGCACCTGACATTTATTCAATGTCTTCACATATCTATGTTTGACTGTTTCAACAGATGCTCGGTATAGTTATATTTATAGTTATCCTTAGCAAACTTTGAGTAGCATAGGCTGAGAGCGTTTTCCCGGAGAGCGAAAGGTCGGCGGTTCAATCCCTTGGAAGCGTCAAAACAACAGAGGTTTTGTCTTGCCTCCCGCTCCAATTTAAGAGATAAAAGGACTGGTCGGTCTACAGTTTGTTGTTGTTGTTGTTTTATTTATCATGATTATTATTGTATAGGCACTATCACAGTATGGAAATATTTGCGCACTACGACATCATCGACGATAACGGCAACAGGTTGGCTGAGGGAAGCAAGGCCAGCTTCTGTCTGGAGGACTCGGCCTGTCAGGATGGAGTGGTCCCTAAGTTTGATTGTGTGGGCTTCAGAGACCAAGGTGGGTAGAGAGAGGGCCACAGGGGCTTGTAACGCTAAAAACTGCCATCAAGGTATATACTGTCACTGACGGGGCCTTAGTACTATATAAAAGGATCCTTTTATATAGTACTAAGGCCCCGTCAGTGACTGTATATACCTTGATGGCAGTTTTTAGCGTTACAAGCCCCTGTGGAGAGGGCATGGGTATGGTTGGTGCACAAATTCCACTGCGAAGTCTTCAGAGACTATTGTAGAGTGTAGAGAGGGCAGATGTCAGTGTCTCCGGCTTGTATTGTTAGTAGCAGTGATGCTTTTACGGCGCTTCAGCTCCTTTTTGACAAATATGTATTCTGTACTTCGGCTCCAATTCACTAAAGAGCTGAAGAATACGTTTGTTTTAAAAAATTTACATAAATACGTTGCACTTATCAGCGTCACGTGGGATGGAAACTGCTAATTAACACCTTATCCCACAAGAAATTGTTCTGACAGACCTGGGGCTCGTTTCACAAAGCGATCGTATCGCTACGACAGTCGTAAGTCTATGTTCAAGTATGGGAGTTACGATCACCTTAGCGCTACGGTCGCTTTTTTAAACGGGCCCCTGGAGCCCTGATCTGGGATTGGTAGAATTTCAAGACAAGCAGAACTTTGTATTGCAACGTGACGCACATTGCAGTGCTGTAGATGAGTGCTGATGCAACGATAGAAAACGTTTATTGCTATCGCAACATGTTCCCATGATGTTGCATCGTTTGTCTTCAGGATTGTCCGTCAACTGCTCCGACAACTACATGTATGACATCGACTGCCAGTGGATCGACATCACCGACATCAAACCCGGACAGTACACGTTTAAGGTGAGCGGTCATTCACAAAACCTCCAAAGCGAGTTATACGAACAGCTGGTGTCTTTTTCATGCACAATACCGCTGTTGTATTCCATGTTGTTGGGACAGTAGGGTAGCCAGGCGGCTGGAGTGTTAGCTCGCCACGCCGAAAGCCCGGGTTCGATTTCCCACATGGGTGTAAACCAGTGTCTCCGCTATAATGTTGCAGGAACATTGTCCTCACTCATTCCATAATCTAATATTTGTCGATTTAACATAAATATATGTTATTGAATTTTTACAACGCACTCACATAATCGAGTGTGACCAGTGGTTAATACCATGAGCATAACCATTGGGTACTATACAACGCAATGAACCAAGTCATCAAGCCTGACCATCCGTCTCCCGTCAAATTCAGTTGCATAAGACATAATTTGTTGGGGGACCTAATCCATCCAGTAATCTCAAGGACATTTGAAATACAATTTAATGAATAGGTGAAATGTTAAGCTATATTAATATATGTACCTCACAAATAAATTTCGACCTCAAAAGGCAATTACAAATAAGCTTTCGAAGATAAAACCTTTCACCTCAACGTATCCCATTACGTAAGCTACCCGTGAAGATCCGGGTTAGAATTGGTCTTCAGCAACCCATGCTTGTCGTAAGGGCGACTAATGGGACCGGGTGGTCAGGCTCGCTGACTTGGGTGACACATGTCATCTTATCCCAATTGCGTAGATCGATGCTCATGATGTTGACCACTGGATTGTCTGGTCCAGACTCGACTATTTACAGCTCAACCGCCATATAGCTGGAATATTGCTGAATGCGGCGTTAAACAACAAACCAACCATTATGCAAACAAGGTAAATGTCTTTATCCGACGCCAGATATCTGTCTTTCCTTACTGTATATCATAATTCATTACAATCATGTGACACTGTCTCTCAAAGACACCCTTATTTTATTCCCAGTTATATGTATAATGCCTTATTGACAAGCGCGCGCACACGATCAAATCACAGGACCTCGTGTCTTTGCGAAGATTAAAGATTTAATTTTTTTTTTTTTTTACATGACCCCGACTCGAAATGCTACACAGTACAATATCTTCTCTACTATCAAATTTAGTGTACTTTGGACATATTCTCTACCATCAAACATAGTGTACTTTCGACATATTCTAACCATCAAGCATAGTGTACTTTGGACATATTCTAACCATCAAGCATAGTGTTCTTTGGACATATTCTCTACCACCAAGCATAGTCTACTTTGGACATATTCTCTACCACCAAGCATAGTGAACTTTGGACATATTCTGTACCACCAAGTATAGTGTACTTTGGACATATTCTAACCTTTAAGCATAGTGTACTTTGGACATATTCTGTACCACCAGGCATAGTGTACTTTGGACATATTCTGTACCACCAAGCATAGTGTACTTTGGACATATTCTCTACCACCAAGCATAGTGTACTTTGGACATATTCTCTACCACAAAGCATAGTGTACTTTGAACATATTCTCTAACATCAAACTTAGTGTATTTTGGACATTTTCTCTACCCTCAAACATAGTGTACTTTGGACATATTTTAACCATCAAACATAGTGTACTTTTGACATATTGTTACCACCAAGCACCGTGTACTTTGGACATATTCTCTACCATCAAACATAGTGTACTTTGGACATATTCTCTACCACCAAGCATAGTGTACTTTGGACATATTTTAACCATCAAACATAGTGTACTTTGGACATATTGTCTACCACCAAGCATAGTGTATTATGGACATATTCTGTACCACCAAGCATACTGTGTTTTGGACATATTCTAACCATCAAGGACTGTATACTTTAGACATATTGTAACCATCATGCATAGTGTATTGTGGACCTATTTTAACCATCAAACATAATGTACTTAGGACATATTCTCTACCATCAAGCATAGTGTACTTTGGACATATTCTGTACCACCAGGCATAGTGTACTTCTCTACTATCGGACACTTCGGTGTACCCTACCCGCCTGCCATGCCGATCGCTACGCTACCATCGCTTGTAGTCGATTAAAACTTCACGTAAACATCATCACGGATGGTTGACCTATCGATCACCACTCATGACACCTACCAATTCTTTATTGTTATTTTTGTAAGTCGTTTGAAACCCGATTTTGACCCTCAACTAAACGATCTTGACACAAATGGATGACGTATGTCCGCACAAAACGGGGTGTGCACCGAAGTGTCCGGCCTTGTCAAGATGTATTATACTGTGAAGCATTTCGAGTCGGGGGTCATCTCAAATGTTTTATGTTTTCTTAACATCTTTAATCTTCGCAAAGACACGAGGGCATGTGGATCAAATTACCGAGAAAGCGTGGTAGAACAACTACCCCCTCCCTGTTACTTTGCCCATACAAAACTTATGTATTAATTTTAGCACCATCGGCAATAATAGTGAACGAAGCGCACCTACAATATCACCGTTCACCCTCCGTCGATACGTTAACATGTTATCTTCATCTCGCTTTGGGATTTGATTACTCTGAAAACCCTCACTGAATTATCTAACCAAGCCTAATTCATTCATAACCCCTCCTCCAACACACACACACACACAGTCACCCAAAACAACAACGAAAACCCTCCAAAACCCCCGCCCCCATCCCAAACAAAGCAAAATTACCAACAGCTTAGAACATACTTAGTGTTCATTCTCAGGAATTTCGGTTTCAAACTACAATTTGAGATTATGCTTTCAGTGCTAAGTACTACTTCCAGTACATCTTGAGTCCTATCAGGTATTCGAACCCACATGTATTCACACTTGGTGAAAGAAGGAGATACCATGACTGCCCTTTTTCACACACGCTGTTTGGGGTTTCCTCGCGGACTGTTCGTGCTTAGCGACCGTATAATTACTTCCAGGCAACAGAAAAAATATATAATAACCGTTATTGTCATTACTTAACCCACTCGACCTCAATTTGTCTTAAAATGCTGAAAAAAGGAATATGCTATTTCGCTGTCTTTGTTTATGAAACTTCGAGATAAGAAACAGGTGTTTTTACTGCACTTTACTTTGAGAAATCTATTGTTCAGTTGCTAGGCGATGGCCGCCTGATAAGGAGGCTTACGCGCTGTTTAAACTTTATTTATTAGACAGTAAGATAAAACACATGTTGCCCCAATGTCAGCTTAAATGAAATAGTGCAACAATGTTCTTGTTTTAATCTTCCTTAAAATGAAGTTCTTGTCACTGTCGGAGCGATAAGATATTTGGATGAATAATATGACTTCCTTTATAACGGGGCTAGAACCTACACCGGAAACGTCGCTTCTAATCGTCATAGGAACGTCGTTCATATATATCTTATATTAGATATACAATGGTGGATCTTATCCTTCCTTAGCACTCCAACTAATAAATGCCTCTCAAAGAAGTTACTTCTCACGTTCGACCCACACCATTCTACTTATCATTATTTTGAAAATCGAATCCCCGTTTAGAATACCTTCGGCAAATGCCCCTAATATTATGTTGTGTAGAAATGATTTCAAAACTATTATGTGGTGAACCTGATACGTGTTTTCAGAAAGTTGAGGTTCTACTCTTGGTTCACTAAAGAGATCAGGGGCGGTGGGGTAGCCTAGTGGTTAAAGCATTTGCTCGTTACGCCGAAGACCCGGGTTCGATTCCCCACATGGGTACAATGTGTGAAGCCCATTTCTGGTGTCCCTCGCTGGAATATTGCTAAAAGCGGTGTAAAATCATACTCACTCACTCACGAGATCAACCCATTAAGTTTTTGTTGTCTTATATTTGTGTTTACCTCCGTACTCAACACTATTTCAGCTATATTACATCGATCAGTTAATAACCGAGGCTTGACCAGACAACATCAGTGATACGATGTTACACAATCAACAAAGTCATCCAGACTGACAACCTGATCCACTGATCACTTATAACCAGCAGCGGTTACTAGATGCGTATTATAACCATAAAAGGGTTACTTACATATGTTGGGTCATTTACTGACCAAGCATAGTGAGTGATCAGCGTTGCTAATCATAAATGCTAATAGGACATATTCTAAGCTTCAAACATGTAGGTTCCTTTGGAAATATTCTAAACATCAAGCGTATTTTACTTGAGACATATTCTAACCACCAAGCATAGTGTACTTTGGACATATTCTCTACCATCAAGCATAGTGTATTTTGGACATATTCTAACCATCAAACATAGTGTACTTTGGACATATTCTAACCATCAAACATAGTGTACTTTGGACATATTTTAACCATCAAACATAGTGTACTTTGGACATATTCTCTCCCATCAAGCATAGTGTACTTTGGACATATTCTCTACCATCAAGCATAGTGTACTTTGGACATATTCTCTACCATCAAACATAGTGTACTTTGGATATATTCTAACCTTCAAGCATCGAGTACTTTGGACATATTCTAACCTTCAAGCAAAGTGTACTTGAGACATATTCTAACCTTCAAGCATAGTGTACTTGAGACATATTTAAACCATCAAGGTTACATTACTGAAGATCATTAGTAACCATATGTTACTCAGGATCTTTTGTAACTATCAAGCATAGATTACTCTAGATAGGTTTACTGGGGATCTATTTTAGCAAACAAGCGAAGGTTACATGGGAACTAATCTAACCGTTAGACTTGGTTTACTAGTGACCTATTCCAACCTAAAAGCCCAGGTTACTGGACACATATTCCAGCCACCAAGCATCGCTTACTGAGGATCTTTTATAACCATTCAGCATAGGTTGCACGGGGCCTGTTCTAACCCAGAGCCCCAGGCCAGATATGACTGAATGTATATTCCAACTTTCACGAATCATTAATATTTAACTCAACTTCATTCCAACAGATGGCAGTAAACCCAACCCTTCTCGTGGCTGAATCCGACTTCGACAACAACGTTGCCTCCTGCGAACTGTGGTACTCCGGCTACAACGCCCGAATACACAACTGCGAGTTTGCAAGTTTACTCTCAGACTGATAACGTCACTTCCGCTCATGCGCACTGTGATTCTTCCGGCGACAGCGTTTGTAGACGAATAACTTTAGGTATATCCGGTTCAGGTAGATGTTGTTTAATGATTAAATCCATTGTATTTGTTTCACATGTATCATTTCGTGTTGATGTATAAATGCAATTGTAATTGATAGAACGATTTTGTTAACCTACTCATTGAAGAATTTAGTTATTGACGTGTACAGAGTGTGTATGTTAATCATCCACTGAATAAACTTTACTGCAAACTGGCATTAAATGCTGATTTGTGTATGTATGCGTTGTAAAAGTATACTCAGCTGAATAAACAACGAAACGCTTTTACGTGTTTCATCCATTTATGCAATACATCCAACTGAAATACGTTTTAAAAACTGAAATACGTTCCCTGCAAAGAACCCGTGAAGATCCGGGTTAGAATTGGTCTTCAGTAACCTATGGTTGTCGTAAGAGGCGACTAACGACATCGGGTAGTCAGGTTCGCTGACCTGGTTGACACATGTCATCGTATCCCAATTGCGTGGCTTGATGCTCATGCTGTTGATCACTGGATTGTCTGGTTCAGACTCGATTATTTACAGGCCGCCGCCATATAGCTGGAATATTGCTGAGAGGGGCGTTAAACAACAAACCAACCAACCGAATCTTTGCAAACAAATATGCCGACATTCTATAAGAACAAATATATATATATGATGACTATAGGACCCCTGTTGAACTGAATTGTCATACTCGTCGCTGAAGAAAACTTCGAAGTAACGTAAAACGTGATGCATTCACATTGAAGACTGTCATTGTCGTCAGGTTTTGGATAAGTGGTATCATCTCAGGTATCAGTGTTAATCTGTCAGAAGGAACTGTTTTTGAGATTTCAGAGGTTATTGCTGAAAGCAAGTATATTGGATTACATGTGAGAGTTTCATTTTCGGTGAACAGCTTGTCGGAGTTGGAAAATCGACCTTTGTTTTGACTATATTATTAGTCCGAACATTACAGGTATTTAAAAAAAAAGTTATTATATAATGGATAGTTTTATCAGAGAGATATCTATGCAAACGAGGTCATCTTGAAGGAACTAATTTATGCTCTACACATCGCTCTACAAACGTCTGTTTGATCAGCATATACATGACTACAGCTCCGAACCTAGCTGCAAATTATTTGTTACTGTATGATATACGGGCAGTTCACTCAGACAGTATATTCATACACTGTTCTTAAAGGTACCTTACTTCTACACCCTCTTAAACGACTCTTTTAAGAGTTACATAATATAATGAACTGAATATTAATTAGAATTATCAAAATATGTATTATATGCTAGACGCATTCAGTATATATTTTGAAACCTAATATTTTGATTATCTCTATTCATCATATTCATCACAATGTGTTTAGCATTTTAAGTAAGTAGAACGACTCATAATACCAAGCCATTTAGTATTTTCATTTACTTCAAAGTTTATGCAATTCATGCCTTAGATGTTCTCTACTTGACAGACCGCCTCCGTGATGTAGTGGTTAGAGCGTCCGCCCGGAGAGCGGGTTCGATCCCCGACCGCGTCATACCAAAAGACGTTAAAATATGGTACTTGTTGGTCCCTGCCTGGCGCTCGGCATTAATGGGTACAACAAGGACTGGTCGGCTCGGAGTCAGTATAATGTGTCTGAGTGGGGTATTCATGCTTCACTGAGGCATGGTATCTCAGTGAGCTAGCACTATAAAACCAGCTTGAGTCTGGGCTAGTACAAGCAGCCGCACATACACATACACATGCATGCACGTCGTCATATGAGCGAAATGTCCTCAAGCACGACGTTAAACCCAATTTCACCTCACCTCTCTACTTGACATAGGTTGTACATTTGTACATACATAGGTTGTATTTTAGTCCAGATAAAAGAGAATGTTCAATGGTGTTTAGACTAATGCTTAGCCTCTGAATAGATATGTTTGATAGTAACAAACAAACGTATTATAAATTGAAAAGGAGCCCCAGGGAGACCAGAGATTCAGAACCTGGGGAAATCTAGACTTGCTTCATTTAGGGCTTTAGCACTGCAGGGAAGGCTGGGCTGTGGGGAAAATAATGTGGTTCAGGGACTGTGAGACAGACTAAATGATGTTGTGTACATGCAGCCTTTTTTCATATCAACCTCCAACAGAAGCCTCGCTGTTCCAAGAGAACCGCATCTGTTACAGTGACATATCAGTGTTTTGTTTATGAGGCTGGTAGATCGTAAATAATCCAATGAGGACAGCGTTGTACAACCAGTGTCATGTATTAGATTCCCAGATTTGTATAATCAAACCCCCCACACACACACACACACACAAGCTCTCACAATTATTGGTAATTACATCTAACTGCCATTACAGAGCAGCCTACGTAATATTCGCCAAGTGTGAATTATTACTCATCAGTCAGAGTTACCCAAGTGCAATTCCCCTAACTCCCCACCCCCAGCATTTTTTAGTTAGACGAAATCGCCACAGCTGTCATTAAAAAATACGCTTTCAGTCCCCTTGTGCTTCCATACCATGTATTCTAATCTTAGATTACTCTTGAAGCCAGGGGATGGTACAATGATAATGAAAAGAAAGAAAATGTGCTTTTTGGATGGCATGCGGGTTGGATTGTGTTGGAAATCAGTTGCTACCGGCTTACTACTGTACATGTGAATAACCCATCGTTATTAAATATCACATATCATATTTAATGTCATGTGATTTGAAGCTCAAACTGCATTACGTAAACTGGAACACGGCGTTAAATGTCATGAATGTGAATTAACATGTTAATGATGTGTGCATTTCCCTGTGACGCCGATTGATTTATGAGCATAGATTGTCTCCTTCTTCGACCTCAGCATGACAGGTGCGCCCTCGGTGCCTAGTTACGTAGAACTACTGGTGTGGTTGTCAGTTATGTATTTGTACGATTAACCCACATGTCAAACTTCCCTTCGTCGATCGCACTTATAATAAGAAGACAAAGTGATCAATATCCCCCACAATGGCAACACACACACACACACACACACACACACACACACACACACACACACACACACACACACACACACACACACATTTCCAAACGTTATATATTAATTGCTTGGCAAAAGAAAAGTGAAAGTTGGATTTGAAGAAACAAGTCTGTTAACGTTATAACCCGTTACTATGCTGAGATAGTCCCCTATTCACTGCAAACGAAAGGTCCAAGACACGACTGCGATGACCGTATCAAATACACATCACTATTGATAAAAACTCATTCCGTCAAACATAGTCGTGCAAGTAATTAAACAAACCCCTGAACTAAACATTTTACTGGGTGGATCACAGGTAAATTCAAGCATTACTTTGGAATTATTTTCACCGCCAGTCCAAGACACGACTGCGATTTCATACACCACATCAAAACTAGGTGATCCTTCATTTTACTGGTGGATCTCAGGTATATTGCATTCCTTTATTATTTTCCAGTTTTCATCACCACATCAAAACTGGTGATCCTTCATCTGTTTCTCTCAGTATATTGTTCCTTACAAAGCCCTCCCTGGAATGCCAAAGCTCTAAATGAAGCAAGTCTAGATTTCCCCAGGTTCTGGGTCTGTTAACATCTGCAAGAAAACTAACTCACTTTTGGGTCTGAATCTCTGGTCTCCCTGGAGCTCCTTTTCAATGTATATGGGTTTATTTGTTACAATCAAAATTATATACACTTAACGCCAAAAGAAACGTTAGCCTCCTACATTTCTGAACTACTTAAAAACTATCAAAGATATGTTGGAAGGTATTAGTTTACAAGAAAGCTTAACAACACAGCTTTATGCAAATCACGAAACAAAATTCTCAAATGCATTCATATTTAGGTGAAATGCATCTTTTTCAGAAGAGTTAAATTGTCCTATTTTCGTCCATGCCGAAATAAGCCTAAAAACAGAGATTTAGATGTCCAAAAGAAAGGTTGAAATACAATTCTGGTTTGAGACAAAGATAAACCATTTAAAGTAACCATTTTTCAACTATTAAAACAAGAAGCAACTGTTGTAGAGTGTGTAAAATTGTAAAATAATCAGTCCTATGATTTCAGTCTTTTAAAACATTTTCTGCTGATTTGTATTAGAGAAAACAAGTAAAACGTGTCTTTGATATTGTGAAAAAAATGTTTAGGAACATTTAAAATGATCTTTGTTAACATTTTTGCTTGCAAAGTAACATTTTTCCATTTTCTGTTTGCACATAGCAGCAATATTCAAGCAGTATTTGCATCCATTTCACATGTAGAATAATTCTATAGGGTATAAAGAGAGCATAGAATGCATGATATGATACACAAGTACGAGAAATATGCCACGATTAACAGCTGAAGAGAGAGAAAGAGCCATTGTAACTGTGTAGATGGGGTCGACATACAATGCTGTTGCCAACGCCCTCGGATGCCATCGTATCACGGTTATAAGACTTATTCAGGGCTTCAGACAGACTGGGGTCACCGTAGACAGACCAAGAAGTGGACGTCCACGCATCACAACGCCAGCTGAAGATAGGTACCTCCGTCATTAAGGAAGGAGGGTAACGTTTCTTTTGGCGTTTAGTGTATATTGAGAGACTAAGTGTTAGTCTCAATCAAACACTGATGCATGCTTTCCTCTGCCCGGCAGGTTTTATCTTAATCCATGTATTTCTAACCCTTATGATTATCAAAATATTTGCACCCCAGGGATCACTAAGACTGTTTCTTGGTCTCATCTTAAAATAAATTGATAAATCATATCACATAAAAATATTTCATATGGCTAATGTCGTTTCAATACAAAAAATATTATCACAAAAACAACACCAAGTATGAGCTCAAGTACTTTTTCAGACGTCATCCACGACGATATCCAGAGACATCTTGGCATTGCGGCACCGTGGTGACCAAACATGAACATTTATTTTTCTCGAAAAGGCAATTTTGTTGTTTATCGACACTGATAGTCACGGTACGGCAGCATGGCGGTCGCGTGTGATGATAGCGCCACCAGCTGTGGAAAGTTATCAACCAGATTTGACGTCTTCATACAGCACAGCATTGACACAGCTGGTCTGGAGAGCCACGCCCCCTTACTTCAGCCCCACTCGGGTACCTCTGCAGTCGGTTTGCATGTAATGCAGCTGAGGTGTTCGATATGCCAAAAACTATTCATTATCAAGTACCATCAATGTCTATCATCCTCATGCATGTTTCCATTGGTATGGTTACATATTTTTTTTCTAAATATTCATAAGTTGTCAGGTCAATTTGTGATGAAAGCGGTCTTTGAATAAT